ATCCGCCCGCGGGTGTTCCGCGCGGTACCGCGGGGCCGCTCCCGGGCGCTGCGGGAAGCGGCCGGGCCCGTGCCCATGGCTGCGGGGACCCGCGGGTCGCTGCCGCCCTTTTGTTCGGACCGCCGGAGCGCCCGGAACATCCCCGAGCGGGTGCCGGGAATAAGGCGATCGGTACCGCGGGGGAGCCGCGGCGGGACCGGGCCGGGCGGCCCCGGGGTGGGGGGGGTCGGTTCCCCGGGGTCGGTTCCCCGGGCCCCGCGCTCCGGCCGAAAATTGACCGAGGAGAGAGGAATCCCGGGGGAGCGCGGGGCGCGGAGGGGCCGCGGAGGCTCCGGGGACCTGTTGCTGCGCATCCCCCGGGGGAGCGGCGGGGCCGGAGGGGAGGGCTCGCTGCGGACCCCGCTCCCCCCGCCAGCGGTTACCGGAGGCAGCGGCGGAGCCCGGAACGGCAGCGGCCGAGGCGGCCTAGCTCGGCCCGGGCGCACAGGCCCCGCTCCCGGCTGCCCCGGCCCCGGGGGGCTCCCGGCCGCATCCCCCCGGCCGCCGGGAGCGGGGCCAGCCCCGGTGCCCCCGGCCCCGCCGCTCTGACTGCTGTGTCGTGCCCAGTGTCCCCAGAGCTGAAGGAGCGCAAGGAGGATGCGAAAGCGATGGAAGACGAAGGGCAGACGAAAATCAAGCAGAGGAGGAGCCGGACGAATTTCACCCTGGAGCAGCTGAACGAGCTGGAAAGGCTTTTCGACGAGACGCACTACCCGGACGCGTTCATGCGGGAGGAGCTGAGCCAGCGGCTGGGGCTCTCCGAGGCCAGGGTGCAGGTAGCCGGGGCTGCGCGGGTGTCCGCCCGCCCGGGTGCTCGGGGGAAGGGGCAGCTCGGGGAGAACCGGGCAGACCACGGGGACCAGCCCCATCCTTCTGGCAGGGAGAGGAGGCGGTTCCCCGGCTCCCAACTTCATCCGGCAAATCCGCCAGCGGCCTCGCAGGGTTTTGCCTGCCCGGGATTTGTCTCCCCGCGTGTCCCCGTCCCTCCGTTCTGCCGTGTTTTATCCCAGCTCCGCCGTTATTCCATCCCTGCCTCGGCAGCCGCTCCCGGGGCTGGCGGGAGCTGCGCTCCCGGTCCCCGCTGCCCGGCTCATCCATGGACGCACCGATTCCCGTCATGGATGTCGCGACCATAAACTGAATTAGAAACCTCCGAGAGAAATAACGATAGATATAATTTCAGTCCGTTTCGCCTCGTAGTTCTCAAATGCTGAAACGGCACGAAAATTGAGCGAGGTGCTTTGTTCGGGTTTATGAAATACAGAAAGTCTGGGATAAACCCGAGATAATTTGGAGATTTCTCCCCTCCCGGGCGTTTCCCTGGGTTTAACCTGCGCTTTGCACCCTCCCAAAGTTTTTTTCCAAGCGGGTTCCTGGGCTGCTCTCTGCGAGTTTTGTCGGGATGAGCTGAGGGAAGGAAGGGGATCCCTCAAATGAGAACAAATGTAGCTGCTCCGGTGTATTTCCGTTGTGAAAATAAAAAGAAGAGAAAATGATGGTCATTATTTGTTGGAACACATGGAGAAGTTTTAGGCCCCGAACATCTGCAGCTGGTAGAAAGTATCGCTGTAACAGATACTCCCCCTCAATCTTTGTGCTCGCAGGCACCATCTGCACCCAAGTATGCGTTCAGTCCTCGGGGGGTTTCCCTGCATCGTGTAAGGTTGTGAGGACAGAGGCAGAGCCTGCACAGGGAACCAAAAAACTCAAAACAAGCAGCTTTGGTCAGAGCCTGAACCACAAAAAAAAAAACAACCTCAACAAGCCAGAAAGAAATAAAAATTAAAAAAAAAAATAAAACTGCTCATTTTCCCTCTCTCTCCACCCCCCCCTCTTTTTTTTTTTCTCCCCTGGCTGCTCGGTTGGTTTTTGGTTGGTTGGTTTTTAATTGTGTTTGTTTAATTTGTTTTTTTTTTTTAATTTCTTTTTTATTTCTGTTCACCAAACCTTAACAAAACCAAGGCAAAAAGTTGTTGGCTGTGGAAAATGGAGCAGGGAGGTGCTCGACAAAGGAGGCGGCGGCGGCGCATAATCCGCGCTCCCATGATGCCAAATCGCAGGGTGCATAATAACTTTTGGAGATTTACATAGATTAAACCCATTCCCTAGAAATCCTCCCGGAAAAAAAAAACCAACAAACCCGCTTTTCAATAATATTTTGCCTCGTATCTGCTCTAATTTGTAAATGCGGGAGGCGCGTTTGTTTCCGCGGGAGGCTGAGGGCGAACGTGGCTCTCGGGCAGATTTTCCTTGGCTGGAGAAAATGACAGGGCGGGAGGAATTCCCGTTTATATTCGTCCCTTTCGAGTAAGACCTCAAAAAATGAAATTTTTATCTTTTCTTTTTTTTTTATTTTTATTATTTTTTTTTCCTGGCCGCGGGGAAAGGATTCCTTGGTGGATGTGGCTGCTGGGATGCGCTGCAGAGCCCTGGGTTAAACCGGGGATGTTTAAAAACCGGCTCTCCCCCCTTTCCCTCCCTCCTTTCTCAAAGGCAGCACAACTTCAGGCTGGGAATTTATTTTAACGATTTCATTTCCAATATTAAGAGTATGTTCGTGTCTAACGGGGCAGCCTCTTCGGTGCAATCAAATGAGATTATTATGATAATGAGATAATTATTCCGCTTCTGTGCTACACTCCAGTGAACAGAGAAATTCCAAACTTCTTTGTAGCGAAGCTTTTAGGACCTTAATTCTCCTTCAGCCCCCCCCCCCCAAAAAAAAAAAAAAAGAAAATAAGAGAAAAAGTCATAAAACCCTGTTGTCGTTGAGTTCTTCTGCAAGATAAAGCTAATTAATTTATTTATTAATGAGCACGAGCTTCTCAGGCCATTATGGCCCGTTCGTGGTGGGTATCGAGGGCCATTTCAGCCTTTTGGGAGTCTGATGCGGAAAGAGGAACCCGGGGAAATCATTTCCCTGGGGCGTGCACTCCGCGCTTGGCGATTTTCGGGGGTTTTGGACTCTTTTCCTTTTTCCTTTCGGAGCTCGGGAGCGGGGGATGGCCGGGAGGGGGGAGCGCACCCGCGTCTCTTTGTCTGCGGGGCTGGGGAGAGGGGGTCGGGAATTTATTATTATTATTAATATTATTATTATTAATATCGCTGCGGTTATTCCCGGCGCGTTTCTCGGGGCTCGGCGGTGGCAGCGCGGCCGTGACCCCGTGTCCCCATCCCCGCAGGTTTGGTTCCAGAACCGTCGGGCCAAGTGCCGAAAACAGGAGAACCAACTGCACAAAGGTACCGGGGGCGGGGGCTCGGCCGCAGCCGGGGGGCTCCGGGCGCTGCCCCCGCCGCTCATCCCCCCCCGTTCCCCCACCCAGGGGTGCTGATCGGAGCCGCCACCCAGTTCGAAGCCTGCAGGGTGGCTCCCTACGTGAACGTGGGAGCGCTGAGGATGCCGTTCCAGCAGGCGAGTGCTCGGGGGGACGCGCGGCCGGGCTCGCCGAGCCTTTGGGGGGTCTCACGGCTTTGTCCCCCGCAGGTGCAGGCTCAGCTGCAGCTGGACAGCGCCGTGGCTCACGCTCACCATCACCTGCACCCGCACCTGGCCCACGCCCCCTACATGATGTTCCCCGCTCCCCCCTTCGGGCTCCCGCTGGCCACCCTGGCCGAATCCGCCTCCGCAGCCTCCGTGGTGGCCGCAGCCGCCGCAGCCAAGACCACCAGCAAGAATTCCAGCATCGCCGACCTCCGCCTGAAGGCCAAGAAACACGCCGCAGCCCTGGGGCTGTGACCGCGCTGCTGCTTGCGTTTTATTCTGGGTTTTTTTTCTTTTCTTTTTTTTTTTTTTTTTTGAAAAAAAAAGGGGAAAAAAAAGTGAAAAAAGAGTTAAAAAGGAAAAAATAAAAAAAAAAAAAGGAAAGAAACGAGGGAGAGGAGAAACGGACGGGAGATATATACTTATTTAAGGAATTAGAGGACGCGCAGCTGGGAAGTTCACAGGTTTTGAAACTGACCTTTTTCTGCGAAGTTCACTTTAATACAAGAAATTTGATAAGAGAGGCGGGCCTCCTTTCACGTTGCATCGGGTACTTGAGTTTAACAACCACGTCTGGAATAGCGACAAAAAAAAGGGAAAAAGAAAAAAAAAAGAGAGAGAGAAAGAAGACGACGAACAGGAAAAAAAAGGAAAAAAAAAAAAAAAAGGAAAAAAAGAGACAATGATTTCTCTGCGAATTTCTAATGGGAAACTGTCCGGGATACTTCCTCCAGCAGCATTCCGGCTTGCATGTATTTGTATTTCATTGATGGAGTCCTTTGATTCACTTGCACTTCACCCTCATCTTTAGTAGAAAAAAACCAAGACAACCACAAAAGCAAACAAACAAACGTGGCTGGGTTCTTTCTCCTTTAATCTTGGAGGGAAGCAGGCAGAGAGAGGCACATCAAGCGCTACCTTTTCCACTCTTAAATCTCTGTCGGTCGTTTGCTGTCCCACCTCTGAAATAAAAAGGGAGCGGAAAGCGCCAGGAGAGCGGAGTTCGCCTCCCTTTGCCGGGTCTCTCCTGTCCTGAGGGCAAAAATAAAATGGGAAAAAAAAAAAAAAAGGAAAAGAAAAAGAAAAAAAAAAGAGATTATTTAATTCCCAACCACCACTTGACACCACGGCAAATTCCGATAAGAGGTACTGGGTACATGTAAAATATTGTTGATACACACGAACAAAGTTTATTTTGGCTATAACTTGTGAATTGATAGTTGACTGTCAAACATTTACATTTTATCTCATAAAGGTGTATCTATTCACGTAATCTTGTGATTTTTTTTGGTTATTATTATTATTATTATTATGATTATTTGAGAGACGTATAGCTATTTAACCTGGGGTACCCTGCAGTCAGTGATTGTTATCCCAGATTTTGCCATCTGACCCTCATGCTTATTGCCAAGACAGAGGGAAAGCTCTTCTACGCGAACTTTGGTATGGACGGGCTTTGTATCTATTTGTTCTCCATGAAAACAAAATTATTTATATTGACCATATTTTTTCTAGTGTATTTTAAGTTATTTAAAAAAGAAAAAAAAAAAAGAGAAAAAAAAAAGAAAAAAAGAAAGCAAGATGCTGTTATCTCATTGCATTTGTTGTCAGTACAATATATTTTGTTTCGCTCAGGTTTGCTTCACCTTTTTTAATCCATTTTCGACGTCACGAATTTCAATAAGTGCCAAGTAATGAATTTAAGACGCTTTGCGATCTATCGACTGAAGTGGGGACGCTTTTGGAGCCGGGATTCTCGGTGTCCAGGCGGCGGTGATGTTCTTTTTTTCCCATGTTCTCACCTCCTGTAGAGCTCGCACGTTTCTCTCTGCTCCGTAGATATCGCGACACGCCGATAGCGCTCAGCACCGCGAGGAAGCGCCGCTCGCCTCCGCTCAGATTTTTTTTTAAATCCCCCCCCCAAATTTCTCTGTGAGTTTTTGCCGAGTTTGGGCTGCACAAAGCGGGACGTTGGCTCCAGGAGCTCCATAGCAAATCGTGTCTTTACGAGTTCTGTCAGGTTCCCTCAGGTAATAAAAGCCAGGAAAGCGGAACGGCTCGGAATCTTTTCCAGGGAGGGATCCGAGGGCACCGGGACCGGGATTCTCCTGCTGGAGCGCCGGGAAATCCGGGAAATCCCAGCGGGAGGAGCCGCTCCGGGAGCAGCGATGGACCGGGCTGGAGGGGATGCGCAGCCCCCGAGACCCTGCCGGGAAAAAGGGTCGGGGGGGATTGGGAAGGGTCGGGAAAGGTCGGGAAGGGTCGGGAAGGGTCCTCCGGGACGGCTGCGGCACCGCGGGCAGCGATGGGAGAGCCCGAGGTGTCTCCATGGCAGGGACAGGGACAATGACAGGGACAAGGACAGGGACAAGGACAGGGACAAGGACAGGGACAGGGACAAGGACAGGGACAAGGACAGGGACAATCAGAGCCCTCCCAGCGAGGCCCCCAAGCAGCCAGAGCCAAAGCAGCTCTGCTAACAACAGGCTGGGAAGGATAGATTTTAAATTGGGTAAAACAGCTTTATTCCAGCAAAAGGAAGATACTGCTAATTATAAAGTCAATAAAAGTAGTGGTGGCGTGGATTGATCCCGAACAGAGCAGTTCATTAATATGTGCATGAGAGCATCAGAGCCAGCCTCAGACACCCTCTCCCTCCTCCAAATAAAGCTGGCAGGTCCTACCTGCTCTGCTCAAAGCACAGCTGGTTTGGCTGGAGTTGCCCCACAGCCTCGTGCAGGTTTTTGGGGGTGGAACACAAACGTGGTGGAGGCAGCGGGAACCTCAAACCTTCCCTCAGCCCTTGGCACATCTGTCTTCGAGATGGTTGTAATAAAAGTCAGGAAAAATGGGTTTCCACCCTATCAGGGAAGGTGATTGGATGGTGTGAGAGAACTGTGTGGTTTTTAGTGCAGCTGTGATTAAAATAAAATAGTCTTAACGGGATGTTTTTGGACAGGAATATTCACATTCCTGGTTTCCTCGGATTGGAATCCCTAACGAGTCTACAGGCCAACAGAAGTTGGCCAGGACTCTTCTGTTTCTATTTTATTTCTTAGAGTGTCTCTGTAGAACCCCGTAGATTTCCCCAATTTAATTATGGACATTTCACGGCCCAGCCAGCGCTCACAACCCGCACAGATAAAACCTTCCAGCGGGATTGAGGCGGAGACGTGCTGGCCTGAGAAGGGGGTTTGGAGAAGGGATCCAGAAATCCTGCAGGAAGGAGTAAACACCTCTTTCTGTCCTGGCAGAGCCCGTGGGGCATTCCCAGCAGGACCTGACGTGGATTCCGGGGGGCTGGAGGAGCAGCTCCCACGTTTTGTTGTCTCTCTGCAGCAGCACCAGTGAGGAGAGCGGGGCAGGGAGCTCCAACCCCACGGATTCCTGCTTGGAGCTCGCTCCTCCACACCACCAGGCTGGAAAAGAGAAGGGAAGAAAACCTGAGAAACAAGAAAAGCCCATGTACAAACCTGCTGTGTCTCGTGGTGCTCGCTCACAGCTCAGCTTCATTCCAGGCTAAACTTTCAAAGTTGCCTTTTGGAGGAGCAGCATCAGAAGAGCTCTGTGGCATCCAGCCCTGGGAGGGAGCTGTGCCTGGGCAGCTACGGAATAAATCATGTCTTGTGCTACCAGCACACCCTGTGCTCTTTCCTGCCCAGTAAATATTGATACTTGTTCAATTTTGTGGCTGTTCCTGTTTTGTTTGCCCTTGAATCCTCAGTCCCTTGCTATTTCTGAGCCTGATTTCCCCTCACTGCGAGGTACCAGCAGGTGAAAGGGCACCCTAAAGGTCACCTCCTGCGTAGGTTTAAGAGTAAAAGCAGTAAATCTAAAAAAAAGAGTAAAAAATGAGTAAAAAATAGTAAAAAAGCAGTAAATCTGGATCCCTTTTGTGGCTCTGAGGTGGGCAGCAAAGTTCTGCCAGGAGCTGGAAAAGTTGTGCTCATTTTTAACCTTCCCTGCATTTGACTGCTGCTGGTTTTCCTGGAGGATCCAATGAGTGTTCCCAGGCACGGGAGCTGTCACTACTCACACTTTACACCAGCGCTCAGCCTTCTCTCCAGGTGTTCTTTAGGCAATTAAGTTGGTGTGAGTGAAGGAAATCCTCAGCATTTTCGACACCCCGAGTCTCAGTGCTCTGGCGGCAGCCTGGGCTTTGGGAGGGATTTGTTCCGCTCTGCCAGCTCCTGACGGCAGAGCCACCATCCCCATCATCTCCCTCAGCCTTGTGGTGAGGCTGGGCCTGATTTGGACAAGGAAAAGAGCCCCAGAGACCCCTCCCCGATGTGAGGCTGAGTTTTGGTTCTGTGCGTGCTGCCTGTGGGAATCTGCCGAATCATCCGTGTGTGCATCCCAGGGCTGTGTCCACAGCTCCCTGCTCCCTGCTGCAGAGCCAGCCTCTCCTCCAGCAATGGCCCTTCGTGCTCACCAGAGCCTCAGCTTTTCCCAGAGAGGGAAGGGAAGCTTTTCTCTGCTCAGGGAAAGAGGTTTGGGGATGTTTTCCTTCCTGACGAAGGGTTTATGGCCTTTGCACGTTGCACCCCTGTGCTTTCAGCAGCCTCCTTTTACACGGGTGAAAATCACCCAGGGAAAGATTCTGGGAGAGAATTCCAAAGTGGGGAATAAAAATGCACAAAAGGAACCAGGGGCAGTTGGGCTTTCTCAGCAGCTACAGCCACCCTGAAAGCACCAAGGATCAAACACCAGTGCCAGAGCTTTAGGAACATCTTCCTCAAGCCCATGTAGGGAATAGAGAACAGTTTTGATAATGCTTTCAGGAGTGCAGCTGCACCCCACGGGTGGCAGGGTGACACCCACCCTGGTGCTGCACCCCACGGGTGGCAGGGTGACACCCACCCTGGTGCTGCACCCCTGGCTGTGTGGGCTCGCTCGGGGTCACTCGGGGTCCTGTAGGGTCCCCAGGTCAGCACAGCCCCCCGGCTCCAGCAGCAGCTGCCTGCACAGCCCCTCCCTCTGCCAGCTCTTTCCAGCTCCCACCTTGGGCTCTGCATCTCCTGGATGGGGCAGGAAGCATCCACAGGTGATGAACTGGCCAGCATCTGGTGTTTGGGATGTCCAGCTCCACGTGTCCCCTGCTCCAGGATTGTCACTCCAGCCTTTTGCCTTCCTGGCTTTGCGTGAAGTGTCTCCTGTCACCGTGGAATGGGGATTTTGTTGTGTGCTCACATTGACCCCACAGTTTCTGTTCTCTGTGAAACTCTTTGAAACCCCCAGGCACCTTCCCTCCCTCAGCCCCTGCAGGGAGCTCCAGGGA